GAGAGAGAGAGAGAGAGAAAACCACTCCGAACCAAACGATTGACCGAACCCGGACAACGTGGCCCGGGGTAAAGGATGAGACCCTCGTTTTTCACCTGCACGTCTAGCAACGACGCCCGGCGTTGTAATGACGATGCCACATCCGGATGTTCTGGGCCCAGGGCACTTTGTCGTATGGCCAGACACCTCACAACCAAGGGCTCAGCCTCCTCATACATCTCCTGCACGAACAACGGTGTGACGATACGAGTGAGTGGCGAGAAAACCTCCGTTCGAGTTTATAGCAACAGGCCAATCACGTCAAACATCGACTAATATCATCACCTGTTCCATCAGAAGCTCCGCAATGTTTTCAAGGACTGTCGCAACCTCCGGATGATCACGGCCATGCACTTTTTCATGAATAGCCAGCGAGCTCTCGAACAAAATTTTTGCCTCAGCATAATTGCCCTGGGAAACGAAGCAGTTAGGCGAGCGATTGGGCCTTCAGAATAGCAGCAAGTGACAACGAACAGAATTTCGTACATGGGAGCACAGAGCGAACGACGGGCAGACCCTCGGAGATTCCATACGATCATGAAACAGTCGGTGCCGAAGACACAGGTCGGACTCATATGTTAATATTTGCACCCTAGGTCAACATACCACCGAATATCTTCGACACAAGAAGCAAAAAATCAGTTTGACAACGCGATATTTGCGGGTCTACGACGCCTCGGGGCGCCCGGTTGCGAATTTATTTTGTCCAAACGCAACGAAAGGCAATACGACTTACTTGTATGCTATCATCGAGAGGATTAAGACTTCGGGCCCAAAACTAGCCTTGAGGTAACGGTGTGAATGGTGAACGTTCGAGGCTAGCCCCACAATTAGAAACGCGTTGTTTACACGCCTGAGTCTCCTCACCTGGCGCGCCAAAAACGATGACCGGTTGTTGAGAACCACGGCCACGTCCGGATGATCCGGACCAAAAGCTTTCTTTCCTATGGCTTCGGCCCTCATAAGCAATGGACCGGCTTCGTCAAACATGTCCTGTACAAATCCGAGTCAGTCGGATGCGTTCGTGAGAACGCGGTTCAACCAGGAACGGTTCGAGACGTTGCAATCAAGGTGCTGTATAAGAAGGGTGACCGGTCCAACTGTAACAACTACAGGGGGATTTCGCTACTATCGCACGTAGGCAAGGTCCCCATCAAGATCATCACCAACCGTCTGAGCGCCTTCTGCGAAGCCAACAACATCCTCCGTATGATTCGTTGGACCGAGAGATGCAGTGGAGAGTGCTGGCCAGGGCCAGGATTCCCGCGAAGCTGATCAAAGTCATCCGTCAATTCCACGATGGAGTGCGGGCCCGAGTGCGCATGGACGACGGAGAACTATCGGACTGGTTCTTCGTGACACAGGGCGTGCGACAAGGATGTGTGCTATCCTCACTGCTGTTCAACATTTTCTTCGCCGAGGTCCTCGAGGTCGTTGTCATCCGATTTTGCGAGGATGATGTTGTTCCGCGGAGCCTGGTCAGCTTGGAGGAGGGGAAGACGGAAGCGGCGGCGGGGGGGGAGACACCCCTTGACCGAGTACGGAGGGCAGTATGGGGGATGCTGTATGCCGATGATGCCGGCGTCGTATCGAGGTCTGCAGAAGGACTGGCCAGAATGATGACCACCATCGTTGAGGTGTTCGGGAGTTCGGGCTGACGGTGTCGGAGAAGACGACGGAGACGCTCCTGATGCGCGCGAAGGACAAGCCGACTACAACATCACAGCCCCCCCCGCCTCCACCGCTGACCATCGAAGCCGCGGGACAGAAACACGCCCAGACGAACGAGTTCCGGTACCTCGGTGGCCTCGTCAACGAACATGGCGACCTCACCCGGGAGATCAACCACAGGAGCAGAGGAGCGTGGGCGTGCCTTAGGCGATATGGCCGGGAGCTCTTCGACAGACCGCAAGCGCCATTCCGACTCAAGATCCGCCTGCTCCAGGCGGAGGCGATGGAGGCACTGCTGTACGGCTGCATGACATGGTCACCACTCAGCGGCCACTACCAGACGCTGCGGTCGATACACCACCGACTGCTTCTTCGCGTTATCGGGTACAGGCGCAAGAAAGACACCTACCGGCAGCTTTCTTTCGCCCGGACGCTGAAAAAGGTCGGATGCCAGAGCGTTGAAGCCACGATCCGACAATGACGCCTACTGCTCGCGGGAGCATTGGCAAGGCAGCCGGACGGGCGACTCTCGAAACGACTGATGCTCGGCCAAATGGTGGAGGGGGAGAAGCGACGTAGGGGCGGACAGGAACAGAACGGGCCGAAGTGTGTGCTCGACGACCTGAGGGCATTCGGGGCCGACCACGGATCTACGAAAACCGATCCATGTTGTCTTGGAATCCCAGTACCGAAAGACACGGCACCGAAGTGAAAGTGGACGGAAGCCGCGAAGGTAGAGGGGGGAGTACCCTGGCATGCGGCGGTGCTGCAGGGAGCTGAGAAGTTCATGACCTCCTGGCACAAGAAGGAAGAAGAGGCTAGCCGACAACGAGCGCTCAAACGAGACCACGAGCCACCAACCAATGGGGCGGAAGGGGGGCAGGAGACGGACGAGACGGCGAGGGAAGAAAGCAAACGAGAAGAGACGGACCGAGTGGCGCGATACGTGCCGGAATGAATTTCTTTCAGCCAATTCCCCCCCCCCAATGCTGCACAATTGCATCAATCCCCCACTAGTGATGACGTACCATTACAATGTATCGCTGGTTGGTGGCCATGTTTGCGTGTTTGCCTGTTTGTTAGTGCTCTCTCCACCGTTTGCGTTTAACTGCATCTTATTTCTGATTTCTTGTTATTAACGGCCTGGTCGCTTTTTGTCCTCGCTCTTTTCCGTTTTCTTTTCTATATTCTTGTTTTTTTTTGTTTATCCCCTTTTCTCTTTTTTCTCTTTTCATCTCTCTTTTTCTGTGTCAGATGGCCTTGTCTCTGCTTGCGTTGTGAAGTACCAAGATTGAACCAAGGGGGTGTACCTCTTTCTTTCTGGCCCGTTATGCTGACTCCTACCTCGCATAGCACACAGAGGGAGCAGAGGACTGCAGAATATCCGTCGGTGATATCCATTGACTTACGGACCCCTCGGGGTCATTTTATTTGAGTGTACCTTTTTAGGGTAAGTTGGCCTGCGACCACGGGAATCGACCGCGTCAAGTATTGGATCAGTACGGACACATGAAGGTACTGGGTAGAGACAGATCGGAACGGTTTAATGTTAAGACAACAACAATCCAGGCTTCTGGTAGAATCTCGACCGCACAATTAAACAAGGTGCTGTCAGCTCTCACCTGCTCGATCAGCAGTACGGCCATGCTGTTGAGGTCCGTTGCAACTTTGGGATGGTCCTTCCCGTGAGCCCTTTCGTTAATGGATAGCGAGCGCGTGTGCAGCGACTCGGCTTCAGCATACCTCCCCTGGATGAAAAAGCAGAACGGTGGTTGGCTAGGGTGTTCGACCATCAAACGCGAAACGTTTAGTGTCGCCAACCGTCTTGACTACAGTGGTTTCATCGGGTGCATGGCAACGCGTGAACGAAGGTGTGAACGGTAAAAGTAACCGCATATAACCGAAAGTTCACAAGAATAGTGGTAAGTCTGGGACGGCCTCTGAGCCCAAGAGCAAGCAGCTCCGAAGGCAGTCTCTGGGAAGTTGAAGACAGCCCTACTGTGCGAATATCAGTGACAGGTTCGCGATATTCTGCCTGGCTCGAGCGAGCTTGTACACGTTGAAGTCAGAACTGCACAACGCGAGGAGCCATACCATGTCCAGATGTCAAATACCTTCACCGTCGACAATCTTTGCCATAGCATGCTCGCTGATAAGGCGAAGTTGAAACAACGACTATGCACCATGTCATTCGACGTTTGGATAACGCGAGAAAATCAGAGTCCGTGAGGAACTGTAAAAATACGACCTCACCAGGGTCTTGAGCAGGCCCCCTAAGTTGTGGAGGACGGTTGTCACTTCCGAGTGGTCATGACCATATACCTTCTCGGTGATAGCTAGCGAGCGCTCGAAGAGAGGCTTCGCCTCGGAACATTTTCCCTGGCAACGACGACGAAACATTTGAGGTATAGAGTGCTGCGTAGGTACGAAGGTTTTGATTCGAGGAGATTTCTGACCATGTTGAGTTCGAAAGGTGCCGCTCTGTGCTTGCGAAAATTCGTGTAAACGAGTCACCGATGAGAAAGGCATATTGCACGATCATCCACAACAGGCAGGCCGTTAGAATATCGTCGGCTTCACAAACCAAGCACCTGCTCCGCCGCAGTTTTACTCCACGAGAAATCTTACACAGCTCGAGAGGAAACCGTTACAGCCAGTCAATTACGTGCAGCGAGTTCTCCGCCGCTTTTCTGGCACGATGTCTTCCCTGCACCACGTTGGAAAACACTTATAGAGCATGTCCAACGTTGTCTTCACAGAGTCATATGCCTCCAACAGTGAGTAGCATGCGACCGAAACCCTGTGAAGGACGGTTACCTGGTCGTGCAACAGTTCCGCTCGGTTATTGAACCACACCGCAACATCTGGGTGCTCCGGACCCAAGGCCGCCTCTTGGATGGCCAGCGATCTTTCGTACAGTTTCTCAGCCGCCGTGTATTCACCCTGAGACAAAAGAGGGCTGGACGATGTAAGTCACTTGGAGTACCTATCTGTTGGTTGGGCTTTGTCCAGGCCGGGTCACGAACCGCTGGGTGTACGCGAGCGTTGCCAGGAGTGTCTCGCACCTGTTTCGTCAACACGGCTGCCAAGTTGGTGAGGTCCGCTGATACCTCCGGGTGGTCAGGCCCGAATACCTTTTCGTCGATGGCGAGCGAACGCTCGACAAGGCGTTTGGCCTCGGAATACTTGCCCTGAGAAACGTTGGTAGATGGACGTGAGAGAACGCACACCGGGAGCAACTTGAAGGACACCCGACGAAGCGCGTTGCTAGCAAGCGACAAGCTGGGCTCTGAAGCCTGGTCGATTGAAGTGCAAGAGTCCTTCGTGTTGCACCTTTGACTACCTTTCCTCACGTTCTACAATCAAGAAAGGGAATCCAGCCTAACACACTTGGTAGACCACACTTTGCGAAGGCCTTTAACGGCACGTCATGACAAATACGAATGGCGATATTCGCGGAAAATTCCACACAACAACGGTCTGCACCTCTAGCACATGGCCAGCAACATCTCGTGCCCTTCAAAAAGTAGTAGCACATAGCGCGGACGAGCAACAAACCAGGTCAAACAGCCTCGATTCCGGGCCGAACTGTACTCGTTACGACATGACGGCACGAGCACAAAATAGTGGAACTTCCCACCTGTTGGAGGAATATGCCCGCCCGGTTGTTGAGCGACTGGGCCACGTCCGGATGGTCCGGGCCAAGGGTCGCCTTTCGTATGGCATGCGATGTCTCGTACAGCGACAAGGCCGCAGCGAACTCGCCCTGCGAAGCGAGACCGCAGGCCATCGATCAAAATAACTCACGGAACATTTGAAGGTCGTTGCCATGCTAGAGTTCACAGTCAACATTTCAAGGGCAGATGGCATCTGGAAAGTGTGTCCCACCTGAGTTTCCAATAGTCCCGCCAGGTTGTTGAGGGTCGTCGCAACTTGAGGGTGGTCAGCACCATACACCCTCTTGTCGATGGCCAGCGAGCGCTCGTAAAAGGTTTTGGCCTCGGAATACTTGCCCTGTGATACGGTTATGGTTCGAGAGGAGGGATGAAGAAGTTTGAATTGCTCAACCACGCGAAGGAATGCACCCGTCGCTAACTGTTTGGAGGACGTTTCCATAGGATTATTCAAATAGTCGCTGGTGGTAACAGTGCACACCATACGTTCGGGCGGACTGCTGTAGATAGGTACCATCTTGTTCCGGACCAGATTCACATTCCAGCAATAATCAGTGCACGCAACCCAAACAAGAAACCCATTATTGCTGTCTGCCGTAACCATGAGGCTGCCGCTCGAGATGAAAGGACTTTTCCAACGACAACCTCACGCATTGCGCTACACTCTAGACCAGACAGCGTGTTTGAAAGAGTGACGCAGCCAGTGCATCGCGGAACGAGGTTTGCAAATGCAAGCGTGCGATTTCACCCTGGGATTCATTTCACATACGGAATCGTCTTGCCTGGAGCTCCATAAGTGATGCCCGGTTGTTGAGGGATGTGGCCACATCTGGATGTTCTCGACCGAGAGCCTTTTCTCGAATGGCCTGCGACCTCTCAAACAGTGGCTCCGCTTCATCGTGCTTGCCCTGTACGACAATATATTCATGTTGTAAGCATATCTTTGAACGTATCGTGCATATCTATAGTCAGGCACTCGCCACAAGGTTTCACGATGAAAACGCTACATATCTCCTCACCTGGTTTTTCAAAAAGCACGCCAAGTTGTTGAGGTCTGTTGCGATCTCCGGATGGTTAGAACCGTAGACTTTCTCATCGATGGCGATTGACCGCCTGTAGAGAGCTTCGGCTTCGTCGTTTTTACCCTGAGGGGGCAAGGGTGAAAATGTTGCGCAAGATAACGCATGACACCTAGCTAGTTAGCTAGTGGAATATGACAGTTACGTGAGGACATTATCAGTAACTTCCGGACAGAGTTTTCAGAACGTGTAGTCGTTTTGTTTTCCTCGCTGGCCTGTCACTCTCGCCAACATTGTTATGCGGTCGAGATGCCACTGTCTGGAAAACGTGAACGCAGATTTCCCGGGCGGGTGTGAATGGTTGTAGGTCGGTGTATGTGCACTTCTTTCTGAGGCTAATCTCACAATTTTAAGAATTCTAAGATAACGAGAGAGGGTGCAAACACATGCGAGAAACGCATCCAGACAAAGCTACACAGCAATGCACAGACGCACAGCACAAAGCACAAAGCAAACAACGCACACCACCACTCCTTTTGAGACTCTGCGCAACTGAAAACCACGGCACTGCTGTTGAGTCCCGATTCATCAGCAGGAAGCCATGCTCGGTGGACTTACTGATGTTTCCATACGGGACATGAATTGTGCTTTTTTCCTTCGGCGTACAAGGTCCAGAGAACCTTCGCCAAACATATTTAGCCAGGGCACAGCTTAAACAGCATCATACAACGCACCTCATAAACACCCCCCTTGAAACCTGGCTCTTGAAAGCTGAAACCATGAACCTGGACTGTTACGTTTTCTTCGGCAACAACTCCGCTCAGACATCACCGTTTCCAGTGTTACCGTAATGGATCGGATTTACTATTCCCACCCAAATCCTTAGTGATAAATTGGTTTGACCATTACCGCCCACACCGTTACCGAATATATTATATCGTCCCATTACCGTACAAACAACTACCGCGCAATATCGCAGATCAACATCATCTAAGGTGGGAGGATGTTATTACTGTCACCCGCGGAGTTTTTTGCACTCGAATTTCTGCAGGGCCCACTCTCTCGGAGGAGCCTTGTAGGTCAAGGACGAACTCGCTTGATTCACAGGCACGAGCCGATGCAGCTTTACGAAGGTGATTGTCGTTGCAACCTTTGACATACGCTGACAAGTTGTATCGCTTCGTGCCACAGGCCAAGAGAGAAATTCGTTTCCGGCCCTCTTCCCGTCGGGTCTCTGGTGAGACGAAAAAGCTCGTGATCATGGACGCCAGAAACGTTTTTCGTACTCGTCAACAGAGTTCTTATGGAGAAGTGCGACACCGTGTGCATGTTCATGCAACACCCCGCCAGTGCAGGCCAAGCAGTGGCAATCACCGGTTGAGGAACACACCTTGTTGTTTCTTGAAACCACAGACGGGCGCTAAACACCGGTAACAACCTACTTTGCCTGACCAGTATGAAACGAAACGGATGTAGGTTCTTTCACAAGTTTCTGTTCCTGCATCTTGATGGGGATTGTCAGCAGGCAGGCCCCAGCTAATGAGCGGCCACAAAGTGCAACGTAGTATGCTTGATACCTGCCGTTCCAAAGTAAAACCGAGGTTGTTTCTGGCCCAAGCTTCATCTTGCAGATTTTCTCTCCATTCGTTGCTCGTTTGGTCCTCAATACCCCGTCGCTCATCCTCCGCCTGGCAAAGCCGCTGACGAAATACGGATTCGATTGGCGTCGACAACGTGCAGGAGATACGGTGTAAGGAATAGAGGCGAGTGGCACTCTAAGAAGGGAATCTCAGCAGCGCGAGCACAGCTTTGGCAGCAATCACAGCCGCGACCGTATCGGCATTATCGACGTGGGCTTAGATGTCTTCAACAAACATGATGAGTACCTGTCTGAAGGCCTCCTCAGCTTGGCCGTACTGTGCTGCATCGAGCTGTATGTGCGGTAGGTATTCCCCAGTACCACGCCAGTTTTGTTCAGCAAGGCGGATCATCTCCTGTGTGACCTCATGGGACAGTGTCTTGATAAGATGATTAGCCTCCGTCTCCGTGGTTACTTTGAGCCGCCGCGCCCATTTGTAAACCACATGTTGGCCGGCCTTCAAGTTGAAAAAGCTCCGTAGTTGCAACTGGATCTCGCAAAGATGCCCGTTGACAACGAGATTCACTTTGACGTCGCGATATCCATTAGGCATCCAATCAGCGTCGAAGCCGTTGCTCACCCTTTTCACGTCATGTGGCTGCACGGCAGATGATCAAAGGTGGCGGTTCAATTGCAACATGACTTCATTGGGCGAGGTATTCGCAATAGTTCATCGACAGCAGCAGCAACCAAGTGCTCCTGCTCATGTTCGAACCCATCTGTATTTGTTATCGATTTTTTGGTGGCGTGGTCTGGTGGTGCCATCGCGCGCGAAACGCGTCACAGTGTGGTCCCTCAGCGCCTGTCCTACCGTGTCTCTGTCCATCAGTACTACTGTCTCTCTCTCTTCCCTTAAGAAAACAGCCCGGGGTTGTGGTGCCATCGCGCGCGAAATGTGTCAGTGTGGTCTCTGTGTCGCTGATGTTCATCGTACTTTTGTCTTCACATTAACAACTGTGTGCCGGCTTATGTTTCAGTTCATCATCGTTGGTATTTTGCAAAGGAAACTCTTCCGAAGTCACAAGGTACCACGAAATGGGGAACACAGAATGCAACATATACCTAGAGAGAGTCGCACCACGTAAAAAGAGCGTTTCCTAGTGAGTACGTCCAGAAAAACTAGAACAGAACAGGGAGGAGAAAAATCCCAAACATCGGACGTAGAGCGGGTCGGGGCTCTTCGGTTGGACAGCTTTACCGAAGAGTAGTTGCAAAACTGCAACCTACGAATGCGTTTATGGAATGGTGAAGGGGAGGGTACTCATAGCCGGGGGGGCAAGGAATAACTCATCCTTCCAGACCAGAAGCTGGATGAAAAGAAAAAGTACACCTGGTACATGCTACCTGTGTAGAAGAGGCTTGCGGCGCACAGTTTCGGTACAAATCCACCGCACATCACTTGCAGGCAGCGTCACTCTGCCGTCGGGATCGCAATCATGATCTGCACCGTTTGGATTCATGTTAGCAACCCGATCGAGGCGTCGTGCGAAGATATGTGCGCTGTTGAGATCGGAGTTTATCATGTCCATTTTTTCTTTGTGTGTGCTCTGGTGCACCTCTCGTATTTGTGACCGGTGTGCTCCTCCACCGCCCTCTCCGGGCGGACCTAACGAGCGGAGAACCCAAGGGCGGACAGCTTGGCACATTTTGGGGGGCGTTCGAATCGGGGAAGGTAGGTATATTTCAAATATACCCCTACCTGAATGCGCGCCATGAGCCCAATGTACGCAGTCTCGAGATCCTCAGGTGTGTTGCAGATCACGGCCGCCCGAGCCATGTCTGCCACTCGTCGGACGTTTCCACCATAGAACCTGACGGCCTTGCGTTTTGTGCTTTCGAGTGTCTTAATCTTGGGATAGACACCTTCGCATCCCTCGCGGCCGTTGATCACCTCCTGCACCAGCCCATCCAGTTGCTCCTTTGCACATTCGGCGCCTTTACGGTAGAACTGCAGCTGACTTGAAAGTTCTTCGTCTGCATCACAGCTCTGTTCCTCCAAGACAATGGGCTGCAATAGGGCGGACTTTGCAGGGGCTGGCTCTATTCTCCGAAGACACTCCAGGCCCCCCTGTTTGTTAAGCTCATAGTACAAGTTGTCGTACGCTCGTTTGTACTTGTCCACCGTTTTGACTTGAAGGAATTTCAGCAGGTTGACCTTCGCGTCCCGCTCGAGAGACGGCTTTTCCCTGATTGAGACGCACTCGAAAAGTTTGTCCCAAACAGATGGTGCATTACCTTGTAACTCCTTCTCCAACCGGAGGAGCTCGTTGATGCCGGGCTCATCGTCCATCTATCGGTCAACGCAACGTTGGACAGGAGGAGGGTATAGTTCAAGGTGCAAGACATCAATCGAAGGGTGCGCATGGTGTCTGACATGACGGCAACATCGAAGACAGAATGGGATGACGTCAATCGCAAGGATCATCCGTCCAGTCGCAACCCCTCACGACAATCAACGGGCTTGCAACCGGAGTAGCGTGGACATGGGGGTGCAACCCGAAGAAAAATGAAGCACGTTCCCATAGCGTCATCTCGGTCATGGTGAAGGGCCACCGAGGGAGTGCCGCGGTTCATTTGAACTTGCACGCGGGAAGGGCAAAATTTTGTTGATTTTTTTGGCTTTCGAGTCCATTTTGGACTTATGTTTCTCTTCACACGTGGGGAAGAGTTAGAAACCAAATTGATACAACACGTTTCCTGTAGACGCCCTGTGCGCCTGTCCCACCGCTTCTCTGTCCATCAGTACTATTGTCTCTCTCTCTTCCCTAAAAAGCAGCCCGGGTTGTTCTTTCCACCCGTGTGGGGAACTCTTCCTACTGTACGTAACATCTCAGACGAAAGCCCCCAAATTGTACTCTAAATGGTACTCTACCATTTTCTCTACCCAATTCGAGGTCGTTATGAGAGTCTCACTGCAGACGAACATCGATTTTTCTTCCCGCAACCCCACATCGTGTTCTCCCCCGACTGTCTCGCCACTCCCTTTTATCCATCGCCTAGTAACCTGAAAGGTTACAATGTGTGGACCCCCCTTCTCGAAATTCCACATGGAGTGCCCACTTCTCCTCGCTCCCTTTCGTGTCTAATACAAGAGATAAAACGAGTCTCCCCCTTCCAAGTAATGGACAATAGAAACACACTGTGTTGTGCAGTTCTGCTATTCCGCGCTGTCCAGCGGGCCTTGTCCTTCCACGTGAACTCTCCGAGGAGGTGACCACTCCAGGCAACTCTCCCAATCTGATACCCCGAAACACAGGAACAAAACGCCTCTGGCGAATTCGACGATCTCAAAAAGCAGTAGTCTAGTCTGCATCGGCTTATCTGCGTAACCAGACTTGCTACCTTCCATATATATGTCGAGACATTCACCAAACTTGCTACCTTACACCAATCGACAACCAACCGGACGTTGACTTCCACCAAATGTGTGCAGCAGCGGCGGGGAATCCTTGAGACTTTGGCAAGGTATTCACATGACCTCATGGTAGTAGCCCACGCCCTGGGCATTATGTTGTTTCACTTCTTTTGGTCGGGCGACTTTCCGCACCTCCAAATCATGGACAGTTTACACCCAAGCTCTAGCTTGGGTCTCTCCAGACCAAAAGTCTTTTTTGTCGGTGTCAACCCACCCCTTGCCCGACCGGGCCTCAGAAGCCGATCTCGAGCTACAGCGCACGACGTGCGACAACCTAGAGATGACTCGGTAGGGCATCGCAAATCATGACGCCTCCCCGAATTTCAGCAGCTTCCGCCCACTACAGCGGACAAGAGGCATCGTTGTATGCTTCGCCCTGCTGTGCGGCCGTTGAACAGACGGAAGGGGTCCTATTGCGAGAAATAATCATTCCACGTAGCAAAGAGGGGGGTTCGATCCGCAATATCGGGCTGACAGGTTTCAGTTCATGTTGTGGAAGTCGTGCGGTGCGCTCCTGTGTGCGAGTTGCATGTGTGTAAGCTCATGTGTGCGACCTGCGTCTCTATTCCGGCGTCTCTGGAGGAGCTGAGTTCTCTCCCTGGTAGCAGTATGCATCCTCTCTCGGGCAGCGGTGTTGCTGCTTCCACTTGTTTTTCACCCCATCAGGGACTGGTATGCATATGATTGTAGTTTTTGTGTTGCCTTGTTCGGAACCAACCGTGGTTTGTTCCGTTTTGAGTGAGTCAGGACTGCTGTGCTGCTGTATGGCGGCTGGTGATCTATGACAGTTGCCTTGCTGTTGCCCTGTTGCCCCTGCTCCTCCTCCAGTACATGCGCGACGCTTCGTGTGGTGTGGTGTGCTGCTGCTGTGTTTGTTACGTACAGTACAACAGAATTTTCATGCTGTCGGGCCCGGTTTGATCAATGTATGCGTTGATAAAAAATCTTCCGAATAAGGTCGACATCGACATCGGGTGGGTGTCCCGTCAGACAGGGTTAGCGACAGATGGATTGGGCATCGCGGGCTACCTTCCATGACAAGAGTATGGCTGTACGCCAGGTCCACTACGACGGGGACAAGCCTTTTCCGTCCCTTGGGGAGCCTCCTTCCCTCTTCTCTCCTGCTTAGCGTTTTTCGTTCTTGTTTTGGATTATAACGAAACTCAAACGCTTCTTTGGGCTCCGCGGGTCGTACGATGGACATTCCGTCGTTTCCTACTATTCAGTAATGAACTGATTTTCGGGGTCCGCTCCGCGTGATAAACTAGTTTATTCGTCGAACCCATCGCCAAAGAAAGTGCGTACGAACCATGATATACATACGGACTTCTCTCAGCCATGATCAACAACTAACTATTGCTTGGTGTTGGTAATTAGTTTCTGGTGCCCGTTGAGGCCGGTGACCTCGCGCAAAATCCAGCGCGACTCCTACACCGCCCGCAGCGTGAAGAATAGCAAGCTCAGCCCCAGCCTGCAGGAGAAGCCTCACGTATCGAATCGATTCTTGTTGTAGGCGCCGTTGACGGAACGTTCATCATAGCACGTGTAGTGTTGACGGAAGGAAACCGTGCGTAGGCGATATGCACGGGAGTCTGTGTTATTTTGCCCCACAAGTAACGAAGCGCGCGTGGTTGATGTCGCCGCCGTTGATGGGTCATTGTAGCTTTAGTGTTGACCGAAGAAGACATGCGTCTGCAATGTGCCAGTATCACTAGCAAGACGTTATCGTTCTTCGTTGGTTGTATGTCTGCCTGTGTGCTCCTCTTCGCCTTTTTAAGTCTGTGGTCTATTTGCGGCCACAAGTAACGAAGCGCGTGCAGTTGGTGGTAACGAAGCGCGTGCCGTTGATGGTTCGAATCGTGTTGGTTGATATTCTATTTTTACCGGTGTTGGACGATCCCTGTCGACTTTTAGGGATGATCCATGGATGATTCCATGTCACATGCTAAGTGAACAACAACAACAACGAAGCGCGTGCCCTGTCGTCTATTACGGATGATCCATGGATGATTCCATGTCACGTGCGAGGTGAGCTTTGTTCGAATCCTTCACACGGATTGCACTGCAATCAAAGCCTTCTGCAAGCAACACGGATGATCCGTGTCGTCTTTTTGAGTGGTTCATTGTTGTTGTTGTTGTTGTTGTCTTCACATTAAACCGTATGCCAGTTGCTAAATGCCAAAATCTAGCAAAGACTCTCAGCCCGTGGTCACGAAAGTGCTAGAGCCATCTGAGGATCTAAAGAACACGCACACGTAGCAAGAAAAAGGTATCCAAGAGCCCGAAGAGGTACTACTACACCTATATATACCCTGCAGCACCGTACGCGTGCCCAAAACTGAACTACACGTCCGTCTCACCGTTCGACTACAGCAACATCACCCCCTACCTGTCC